CATCCTCCCCCTCCTCTTGTCCCCACTCTTCCCCCTCCTTCCCAGAGTGTCCTGGATGCCACAAACAGCTGTTCATGAGGAACTGGGAGGTAGTGGCATGAATTGATCAGCAGGGTCTATAGTGGCCAAGAGGTGCTGGGAGGAGACTGTAAGAAGAACTAAATCAGCTGGGAACAGGACAACTTCTTGAAAGTTAGATTGCTCTGGGACAGGAGTGCAGTAATTTTTGCAGAGGGGCCACTTAATGAATTTCACAATGTGATCATGGGCCAGTTCCACCCCCCCCAGAAGGGGCGGGGCTGGAGCATAAGGGGTAGGGCTGGGGACCAGCCTCCTCCCAGAATTGTCTGGGGCTGCAGGCTTTGAATTAAAAACCACAGAAAAGGACTCGCAGATCCCTGCCCCGTCGCTACCGTAATTGCCTGGCAGCTGTCCAGGGTTGCTGTGGCTATTTAAAAGGCTTGCAGCTCCAGCCCCTGCCAGGGTAGCACTGTGATCAGTACATGTGAGCCATTTAAACAGGAACTTGCTGCCTGAGCCATCACCTGGAAATTTGGTGGATATAAATAGAAAGTGACCAGAGGCAGTCTGCAGGCCAGATCCAAATGTTAGGTTTGCTGGATCTGGCCCCCAGGCTGCATCTTGCCCAGCCCTGCTCTGGGACATAGTGAGAACCAATTCAAAGTGATTGTTGGTGTTTCCAGTAGAGTGTTTTTTCTGTGCCTGAGAGTATCGACTAGTGGGATTGCACTGGGGTTTGGACCAAGGAACAGTGGTTACAGAACTACTGGATGCCCAGGCCACATTTCAAGATATTTGTGCCAAGCTTGCCCTAACCTTCCAGCATACGGACTCCAACAGGAGAGCTGCAGTGACAAGTGAAAATATAAGTGGTGATCTCACTGTGGAAACTTGCAGTGCTGGATTGCTACTAGTTAGGGGGAAATCATTTTGGAATGGGAAAATCCATGGATGTTGGGGAGGGCCTTGCCATGCAAGTGTGCAGGGTCTGTAATCATCTCCTGTTACACAGGACTCTTGGAAATGTGCAGGACATAATGGATGGATTTGCAGCAATGGGGTTCATGAACAGCAATGGATCAATAGATGGCATGTGTATCACTATTTTAGCACCAGCTCACTTTGCCACAAAATACATCAACAGAAAGCAGAGGCAACACAATGGCATGTGCCCCTCAAATGCTGTGGACTTGAGGGGCAAAGGGCCAGCAATTGGTGGCACCAGAGCTTCTGGGCTACCTGGGGGACTAGTAGGGTGGCCTGGTGCCCACATTCACCGGCAGCAGTGGGAGAAAGCAGAGTGACATGGCCCTAGTCCACTCTGCTTCCCTGGCTCCCAGACATATCGCTGGGATATAGGGTTGCCAGATACTTTCAAATACCGAACATGTTGAGGAAAAAATTGGTTGAGCAAAAAATTGGGGAATTGAAAAAACTTGTTAGGAAAAAAAAAAAAAAAAAAAAAGAGGATTAACTGCACCCTTTAAATCCCCACACTCCCCACTCCTCCTGCCCCACCATACATGGCAGGGGAAGAATGTTCCAAGCAGCCTTCCATCCAAGAAAAACAGAAAATACCAGACATTTTACATGTCCAGTGTTTTTTTAAGCGGACAGAGGCCACAAATACTGGACTATCCGGGCCAATACTGGACATCTGGCAACCCTATCTGCCCAAACTCCTCACTCATCCAAACTCCTAATCTCCAGCCCCACCCCAGAGCCCTCACATTTTAACATTATTTTTAATGTATATATCAGCTTACAAGGCAGGTGTGGGTGGAGGGCAGGACTTAGACCAGTTCTGGGCACCACCAAAAAGTATACAAACCTGCCTCCCCTGCTTCTGGGACCACACTTAGTACTGTAGGAGTCCCTGCCTTATTCCACAAGGCAGGGTGGTTTATGGTTCATGGTGGCCTGAACCATAAACTCTGTGCTAGTCTCTAAACAGTAAAAGAAGAAACTCAAAATGTAGATGACTGTGCCTTTAAAAAAAGAAGCAAAACCTCATTTCTATCACTATTCTCAAAAGCAAGTGTTGAGTTGCAGTGCTTGAGTTCTTCCAGGCATTACAGTACCATGGCAGAGGCAATTATAACTGTATTGTGATTGACCAAATGGTGTGTCTAAAAGTTGCAACTTTCTCTGTTTACAGTTGAATGACACTCAGGAAAAAATGGACAAGTGTCCTACCTTTACAAACAAAATATATGATTTCTAATTGAAAACCAAATCTCCCCTTTTTGCTGACATTTGTCCATACTAGGGACATTTTCTAAAAACATTTCACTATTGCTAGCACTGGCTTAGCTACACAGTGTCAGGAAAACTGAGAACCCTTGTGCTGCAGGCATTTTTAATGTTGTATTGCTTTAACCTGCTCTGAGCTGCCTTACGCCACACAGTGCTGAAAAAGGCTAGGAGGACACCCAGTATTCTGCCTTGCAGTTGTTGTTGTTTGCTTCTGCATTCACTTGCACCATTCATATTTGCTTTCACTCCGCACACCAATAAATGACTACACAGAGCACAAGCTGGAAGAGGTAATACCTTTTATTGGACCTACTTCTCTTGGGCTACGTCTACACTGGCCCCTTTCCGAAAGGGGCATGCTAATTTTACAGGTCGTAATAGGGAAATCCGCGGGGGATTTAAATATCCCCCGCGGCATTTAAATAAAAATGTCCGCTGTTTTTTTCTGGCTTTTAGAAAAGCCGGAAAAGAGTGTCTACACTGGCCCCGATCCTCCGGAAAAAAGCCCTTTTCCGGAGATCTCTTATTCCTACTCCTAGATCTCCGGAGGATCGGGGCCAGTGTAGACACTCTTTTCCGGCTTTTCTAAAAGCCGGAAAAAAGCGGCGGACATTTTTATTTAAATGCCGCGGGGGATATTTAAATCCCCCGCGGATTTCCCTATTACGACCTGTAAAATTAGCATGCCCCTTTCGGAAAAGGGGCCAGTGTAGACGTAGCCTTGGTGTGAGACAAGGTTTTGAGCCACAAAGAGCTCTTCTTTAGGTCTGTGTGGCTCGAAAGCTTGTCTCTGTCATCAACAGAAATTAGTTCAGTAAAAGATATTGCCTCATCCACCTGGTCTCTCTAATATCCTTTGACCGACATGGCTCCAACTACTCTATATACACAGAGCACAATGCAATGGAGGATAAAACCTTTCA